TTGGTTAATGTAGTAAATTATTCTAATTAGTCGTAACTATTACAAAGATCTGTTAAACTTGAAAATAACGTTAAATTTACAACAAAATATAATTCAATANNNATGGTTTAGAGTCTATACCAGTGCTCGAAAACATGTGCCCTCTTTCCTAAGAAAACTATATGCATGTTGTTTCATAATTAAAATTCATCAATCTATTAATTCCTCTTACACTGAAACCGAACTAATAAATGCTTCACCTACTTCACCTACCCGTGCACAATTAAAGTTAATATCAATATCACACAAATTCAAAAAATAAACATTGTATTTTTGTTTCATTTAATTTTATAATGAAACTTTAGTGATAAACAGAAGATACACAATTTCTCTCTTTATAAATATGTGTATCTAATTAATGTTTAAGAGAAAAAAAAACATAACTCAACGTAAATTTCAATGTTGTCTTAAGAATAAAAACTGCGAATTAATTAACTAATAACGTTACTACTAAAAATAATTTTATTAAATAAGGTTATTTTCTATTTATAATGATACTTTTATGAACACTATTTTAGTAATACTACTGAGCAACAATAGATTTATGTTTTACGGATTGTGAAATTAAATTAAATCAACAATATTTAAAACTATTTAGAAGTTTTAAACTAATTTAATAAATTGTTTAATTTCGTTAGTTAACCAAAAAAGTAGTTTCACAGAGTACAAGTTATTAAAGCCAGCAAAAATATTTATTTTTTGCATTATAACAAGTCTAGTAAACTCTTTTGTAAACGATAATAACATTCTCGAAACAACTACAAGTACCTGTACCTTTTTCGTAAAAAAGTTGAGTAATTGTCCATTTACATATACTTTTATTTATTTCATTACCACGACGAGGCCGACTCGTCTTACTTCTTTCTCCCACTTCAACGTTACTGAGGAAACTCGCAAGTATATAAACCGAACGCATTTTGTACAAAGTTATCAATTTGATCTTAGCAGTCAAACTACCCAAAACCATCAACATGTTCAAATACGTAAGCGTTTTGTTTCGATCTATTTGTCAAATAATTAATTTGTCTTTTGTTTTCAGGTTGTTCTCGCCGCCCTCTTGGCCGTCGTCTTCGCCGCTCCAGAACCTAAACCAGGCGTTTTGGCTGCCGCTCCCTTGATCGGTGCTCCATTGGCATACACTTCACCGTTGGCTTACTCCGCTGCCTACTCCAGCCCAATCGTTAAGACCGCTTACGCCGCTCCATACGTAGCATCTCCATATGCTTACTCCGCTGGATACGCTTCACCATATGCTTACTCCGCTTACTCTCAGTACGCCGCCCCAATTGTTAAATATTATTAAACAAAGAAGAAAAAAAAACAGATTTGAAAGACTTGAATAAAAATGAAATGAATTAAACAAACTCTCTTAATTGTTCACCTTCCATTCCTAACCTTACTACCAGATAATAATATTCTAACATCTAAGAACATCGATAACAATTAACAATTTTAACAATCTTAATCAGAAATAATAATTTTTTTCTATTAAAAATATATTATTATTGTTTGAAAAGCAAGTATGAAAAAAAGTCCAAAATTAAATCAAAGAATCTAAATTATTAATCTTTATTATAATGAAGATGAATATTTATCTTATCTAACATAAATTTGTTCTAAATAAACTTACATCAAGTCTAGTAAATTATGTTTTAAACGATAATAATATTCTCGAAACAAGAACAACTATTTGGACTCTTTTATAGTAAAAAAGTTGAATAATTCGACAAATTACCTTTTTTTTAAGTTTTGAAGTTTTATGTTTGCTGTGTTTGAAGAGACGTTTTAACGTGTTGTCGTTAGCAGGAAACAAACCTTAACAAATTTAATGGATTCTTAAATTAATGATTTATTATATTTAGATAATTTCTGTCTTATACAAAATATGAAATAATTGATAATGCACTAATTTATGTATTTTTAAATTTATTAAACAAAAATCACAATCAAAACATCAATTAAGTATAATTTACATAAATTAATATAAACAAGTGTTGATTTGTATAAACGGTGCTTTGACAGATAAAAAAATCGAGCAAATTTTGATCAAGTACGCTCAACTGTATCAAGTTATATACACACTTAATAATAATTGTAGGATTATCAAATAATGTGACGCAAAAAAAAAGCAGTAGATAGTAAAGTTAATGATATTCTTCAAGAAACCCGATGCAATCCTTCTTCGTAGACCGTTGGCTAATTGTCCAACATTTACATTGTGTTACATTTTTTGTTTTCTTTTCTTTTTTTCATTAACATAACAAGGCCGGTCCGTTTTGTTTTGATCTGTTTTGTCAAATTATTAATTTGTCTTTTGTTTTTGTTAGGTTGTTCTCGCCGCCCTCTTGGCCGTTGTCTTCGCCGCTCCAGAACCTAAACCAGGCGTTTTGGGTTGCCGCTCCCTTGATCGGTGCTCCATTGGCTTACTCTTCACCGTTGGCTTAATCCGCCGCTTACTCCAGCCCAATCGTCAAGACCGCAAGAGCATCTCCTTATGCTTACTCCGCTGGATACGCTTCACCATATGCTTACTCTCCGTACGCCGCCCCAATTGTTAAATATTACTAAACAAAGAAAAGAAACAGAATTGAAAGACTTGAATAAAAATGAAATAAATTAAACAAACTCTTAATTTTTCACCTTCAATTCCTAACCTATCTACCAGATAATAATATAACATCTAAGAACATCAATAACAATTAACAATATTAATCAGAAATTATAAATTATTTCTATTAAAAATATATTATTATTGTCTGAAAAGCAAGTTGAAAAAAAAATTCAAAATTAAATCAAAAAATCTAAATTATAAATCTTTATTATAATGAAGATGAAGATTTATCTTATCTAACATATTTTTTTCTAAATAAACTTACATCAAGTATAGTAAATTATGTTTTAAACGATAATAATATTCTCGAAACAAGAACAACTATTTGCACTCTTTTATAGTAAAAAAGTTGAATAATTCGACAAATTACCTTTTTTTTAAGTTTTGAAGTTTTATGTTTGCTGTGTTTGAAGAGACGTTTTAACGTGTTGTCGTTAGCAGGAAACAAACCTTAACAAATTTAATGGATTCTTAAATTAATGATTTATTTTATTTAGATAATTTCTGTCTTATACAAAATATGAAATAAATGATAATGCACTAATTTATGTATTTTTAAATTCAGTAAACCAAAAACACAAACAAAACATCAATTAAGTATAATTTACATAAATTAATATAAACAAGTGTTGATTTGTATAAACGGTGCTTTGACAGATAAAAAAATCGAGCAAATTTTGATCAAGTACGCTCAACTGTATCAAGTTATATACACACTTAATAATAATTGTAGGATTGTCAAATAATGTGACGCAAAAAAAAAGCAGTAGAAGGAAAAAAAAAGTTAATGATATTCTTGAAGAAACCCTGAAGAGACTTGAATAAAAATGAAATGAATTAAACAATCTCTCTTAATTGTTCACCTTCCATTCCTCACCTTACTACCAGATAATAATATTCTAACATCTAAGAACATCGATAACAATTAACAATTTTAACAATCTTAATCAGAAATAATATTTTTTTTTCTATTAAAAATATATTATTATTGTTTGAAAAGCAAGTATGAAAAAAAAAATCCAAAATTAAATCAAATAATCTAAATTATAAATCTTTATTATAATGAAGATGAAGATTTATCTTATCTAACATAATTTTTTTCTAAATAAACTTACATCAAGTCTAGTAAATTATGTTTTAAACGATAATAATATTCTCGAAACAAGAACAACTATTTGCACACTTTTATAGTAAAAAAGTTGAATAATTCGACAAATTACTTTTTCTTAAGTTTTATGTTTGCCTGTGTTTTCGGCAATAATTTGCTCCGTTGCTTTGGACATCACCGATTAACAGCTTTCAGAACGCCTCATGAAAGTTGAAATTAGGCATAAATACTACAAACGTATTATAGCTAAATCCACTATAAGACCTACTTATAAAGTTTGGGTAATAACCAGAACCTTTTATGAAAACCTCAACGATTGTGTGTTTTCATTGGAGAGTGCCATTACCACTGCATCGTAAAAAGTACCAAACATTTGAACATTTTCACACAACTGCACATATCCGATAAAGTGCTCTAATTGCTAGGGATCTCATCATATTTAGAAATATTTTTATTCTCCGTCGGAAAGATATAATTCTTGCGGATTGAAAGATCATACTGCATAGTCCATGAAGTGTCTAAACAGACCAACTAAATCGATTCCTGGTATTTCCAACACTAGAATTGATTGTCTCAATAGAAGATCAAAGCAAATATAAAATGTACAATTATTATCACCTACATCAACAAAATTAACGATCCTCTTAAGTTCGACAGGGATACTCTGGTGCAAAGATTGAAGAGACGTTTTAACGTGTTGTCGTTAGCAGGAAACAAACCTTAACAAATTTAATGGAATCTTAAATTAATTTATTTTATTTAGATAATTTCTGTCTTATACAAAATATGAAGTAATTGATAATGCACTAATTTATGTATTTTTAAATTTAGTAAACAAAAAACACAAACAAATCATCAATTAAGTATAATTTACATAAATTAATATAAACAAGTGTTGATTTGTATAAACGGTGCTTTGACAGATAAAAAAAATTAGCAAATTTTGATCAAGTACGCTTTGTTTCGGATCAAGTTACATACACACTTAATAATAATTATAGGATTGTCAAATAATGTGACGCAAAACAAAGCAGTAGAAGGAAAAAAAAGTTAATGATATTCTTGAAGAAACCCGATGCAATCCTTCTTCGTAGACCGTTGGCTAATTGTCCATTTACATTTTTTGTTTTCTTTTCTTTTTTTTTCATTAACAAAACAAGGCCGGTCCGCCTTGCCACCGCCTCCCACTTTTATTCTTATTCGCATCGATTCACAAGTATATAAACCCGGTGCATTCATCGTATTGTCATCAATTTGATCTTACCAATCAAACTACCCAAAACCCATCAACATGTTCAAATACGTAAGCATTTTGTTCTGATCTGTTTTGTCAAATTATTAATTTGTCTTTTGTTTTTGTTAGGTTGTTCTCGCCGCCCTCTTGGCCGTCGTCTTCGCCGCTCCAGAACCTAAACCAGGCGTGTTGGCTGCCGCTCCCTTGATCGGTGCTCCATTGGCTTACTCTTCACCGTTGGCTTACTCCGCCGCCTACTCCAGCCCAATCGTTAAGACCGCTTACGCCGCTCCATACGTAGCATCTCCATATGCTTACTCCGCTGGATACGCTTCACCGTACGCTTACTCCGCTTACTCTCCGTACACCGCTCCACTTGTCAAATACTACTGAGCTATTATTTGAAAGAACTGCATTGAAAAAACAATTTGAATAAAAATGAAATGAATTAAAATGTATTCTATTTATTTTCCTCAGTCACCATTATGAAAATGCTATTGATAATGTTATTGGAACTTCATGATAAAGAATATGTAACTAAGAATTCGTTCTAAAAATAACAAATTTTATTTTATCAAACTATCACATTTTCTAATTCTTCAAAAAATATATCATTAAGCTGAGCACTAAGCTGAGAATACGTAAAATTACTTATAGTTTTATTAAATTCTATAATTTTATCAAACCCACATTATTTTCTCATACTTTGAGATATTTTAATAGTATAACAATATCTAAAAGTTACAGTACATTCAACATTTTATTGACAAAATAACAATATTGCTCATATTGTAATTACACGTATGTTTGGTAACCAAAACTATGATTTATTAAACTAAAATAATTATGGAAATATTTAAAACTTATTAATAAAAGCATATACAATAGAAACGTAAAATATGTCAACTTTAGTTAAGAATTATTTACTTACCTCCACTAATTTATAATGAAATTTTTTTTTCTTTTACATTTTATTGTTGTATTTTGTATCATAAAATTTGATTACTTTGAGTTTATCAAAAAAAAAATAAAACAAGAAATTACTTATTATTAATAATTAGTTATTATTTATATAAAATATAACGATTTTGTTTGTTCAATAAAATACTTTCATTTACAAAATTATAATTTCTCCTAAATGGCCTAAATTTTTCAAACTATAATTTATAAATATTTTGGTAATTGCCATTTAACAATAAGTTTTTGTTTGTTACAGTTGGTTACAGTTTCATTTTTCTTGATTATTTTCCATATTCATGTAAAACCTTTGATAGAGCAATTAAGTATATAACATTTTTATTTTATTGCTTGTGTTGGAATTATGTAACATTACTTTAGAATGAATATATTTCTCAATCCGTTTCAAAATTTCCTGATTTTTACTCGTATAGTGGAAACGGCTTTCCGATATAAATTAATGTAAATTACAATATAATAATGCGTTCCTTGCCGGAAAAAGAAAGTATAACTTGGTCTGGATTTTTAATGATTTTGCTGTTCAAGAGTTTGCAAATGTTATTAAATTTTGCACAAAAAAAAACACAAATAACATGTCTGAACACAAGTTTGGAAATTATGTGATCACAAACAATAATACTAAGATGCAACTAGAATGACCACTAAAACTAGGAGCTGTTTTCTAATTCACACACGGTGAAGTAAGTTTATATTTGTTTATATTACTTGTATCAATTCGGGGACTTG